CAAGACTCAAAGAAATGAAAATTGACACATTAACCAAAAGCAGCAATGGGGGTCTGGAACAACACTGTGGAGAGGCAGCAACTGTGTCTTTGTACCTTCTACTGTTCCTTGGTTTCATAGCATCACCTGAAAGAAAAATCTGGCCGTGACACTGCATGGAAAGGTTACTGAACAATTCTAAGCCCTGTCTTTGGTAGAAGATCAAACTCAGCAAACTGAACTTAAACGCCATGTAGTGCAGTAAGTTGTCATTAAAATATCAGGCTGGCTCCAGCACCTTTCTCCTTCAGTCAGCTGTCCTGCCAAATAGCAATTTGCATCCTCGAAATGTTTTTGAGTATTATAACTAATTCACAGGCTCCCTCTGCTGGTCTTCCAGAAGATGGGACTGGCGGCAAAGCTGCTGTCATCTTCTTTTCAGACTGACTCAATTTCTTCAGCTTATTTTGGTGTTTCCCGTAGCATCTGAAGAAGCAAATGATCAAATTCATGTAAATGACTCTTTAGAAGTGTGACAATGAGAGGTTTGATGGGTTAGATACGTACTCAGAAATTTTACATGCGTGGAAGAAGGCTTTTTCCATTGTAATGTAAAGATGCAAGTTACCTCCTAAAAGTACTGATGCATCCATAAGCAGATAATGATCCTTGGTGTTCAGTAATGCCTTCTGTTTCACACATACAGGAAAGAGCATTGAGAAAATAAATATGCATTGGTGAATTAAAAGTTTACTGTCCTCAAATATGCTCAATACAGTATGCAGTTTTATGTAGATTTTCAAAAAGCCTATCATGAGCCCAGGTGTTTGTCCTGAGCATTCAGAGGGATGATAAAGTGCAGAAAATGTTATTATAATCAGAAGCAATGAAAAACTGGTTCTGCTGCTGCTTTCTGCTGTGTTCTCAAGGTCAAGATTTCTGTCCACAGTTTTTGAAACACGTATCTAGGGCACAGCACTGTCTTAGTCAGTATATTAGTAAATCTCTCTTAGCAGATTAAATGGAGCTGTGGAGTTATTTACTTCCAGCGAAACAATCTCAAGTTGAGAAAGATCTCTAACAACAAAAAGAGCTCTGTGATTGTTGTAGACATAGCCTTTCCTTGCTGCATCTTAGCGTGGATTTACTGAATAATGTACCTGGCTTAAGTCATTCACATATCTGTGGAATGCCTTAATGGAAGGATGCACATTGTCTGCAGTGGCACAAGAGAAAAGCAGAGAGACTATGGAAGCAATCACAGCAGTATTGATGACTCTAAGTAGGGCTCCAGAGCATAGACAATACAGTACAAATACTGAGTATCAGTACTGCTCACTTATTGTGCTTAAAGTTGAAGGTGAATGGAAATTCACTGTCACCATTGTGAATGGAGCTTTTTTTATTAACAGCAGCCAGCATTGCTGTGCAGTGATGTATAACAGAAAGCTAAGAACTCCACCAACCTGCTGATATGGAAATTGCAGGTGAAATATAGAATACTTTTGCAAATGTATTTCAAACTGTGATCTAGGGGGGGAAGTGAAATGAACACTTCTAAGATGACAGAATGGATTGGGATGTCTTTAAAAATACGAAAAGAGTTAGCTGAAATATTAAGCCATCAGCAGTGTATATCTCAGTGTCAGTAGTCTTTTGGCTGAATACTGACAAAATAAAGAATAATTCTACCTACTCTGCAGTATGCACATAGTAAATGCCATTCAAATTTATAAAAAGTATAGCTTGAGAAACTTGATGTGTGCACGATTTTTTTTTTCTGGGCAGCATATTCTCATGCCAATGTAATTCTATGCAGTTTATCCTTTAAAGACTTTGGGAAGATAGGTCTGTTTCTTTGCTGTCTCTAATATTAGTTCAGTAATTCCCAGAGGCGAGTTGGCACTGTGACTCCACTGAAATGAAAATGAACTTTGTAGCATGGCGGTTAAACCATCTGCGGTTATAATCCGTGTATTCTCTGATGGCTGTTGTGGTGACATGTTTTTAGCTGTTTTTGGAGATGCTGTGAGGGAGCATACAGAGAACACCCATAGTTTTTGATTTGTGGCAAGATGAAAGAAATCTTGAGGAGCTTTTAACACAGATTTTGTTGAAAGAGAATGTAGCAAGCCAGTGGAGATCTTAAATATGATACCGGATCATAAAAACCTTTGGAAGACCACTAGTAATTACTATGAGAGTCTCTATTCTCAGTTAATAGCTTCCTAGAATAAGGAACAAATACAAATCTGTGTATTAAGTGTTTTGGAAAACAGCAGCTCTGTGTACAGTGCCTGTGGATTGAGGTCCTTGGGAAGAAATATTTGGAGTCAGCACAGAAATATTCCTATTCATCTCTTAGTACACATCTCCTACCTGTGTCGTGCTTATAGGCCAGTCCAAGTGGCCAGACACAGAAGGTTGCTTTCAAAATGTATGGGTTATTTTCTTCTCCATTTCATCCAGACGACTGGATGTGCTGATTTCTATCATCCATTCCAATCATGATTTTCAGTAATCAGTTTTTATCTGACTTTGCATATGTGAAGTGATATTATTATGCCAGCCAATGGGGTATACTTTGTGCATACACGTAAGTAATCATAGTGCTTAAGCATTCTGCTTTTTACACTTACCTTTTATTAAAATATGGGGAATGATGCAGTTCTTACTAGCTGAGATTTTTTACACAGCATTGTGCAGTGCTGGATTTGGGTAGAAGTAGAAATCCGTTTAAAGATCACAATTAGCATTTTGAAATGGTCTTTAATTCAATTTAAAATTAAATGTGCTGAACATAAAATTAAGTTGATCAAACATGGTTTACATTGAAATCCAGCTCATTTATTACGATCGCATGGAGAAAATGAACTGATCTCAGTGTCTCTAATCAGCATGCTTTTGCCTTCCAGAATGACAATAAGGAGATCTTAGCCTTCACTTTTATTTTTCAAGGGTTACCTTACTAATCCTTTGACAAAGTACAGGATTTGGAGGATTAGGTCTCAAAGTGCAAGACTAAATCAGAACTCCGGAGAGAACGCGGTGTGTCTCGCCATGTCCGTGATCTGCTCATTTGTTTAGGATTTAAGCCATTATTAAATTCAGTGAAGCTGAAACAATTAATCTTAAACTGACTGGAAATGGGTGAAGTGTCCAGATGTTAACAGCTTATTTACTTCTACTGCAGTAACATTAAAGAACACTAATCAAGATCAGAACCGGATTCTTCTCCAAGTTGTACAAAGATAGATAAACAAGATTTTTCTGTCATTATTTCTCAGCCAAGTTCTAACTGACATTGATTATCCACAGTATCTTTTCATTGCCAAACAGAAGTATATATTTTTATAACAAATGTTGCCTCCAAATTTAATGCAGATGGCATTTTTAAAAAAGACTTAATCGTGAGTCCTCTGATATTAAAAATTACAACAAAAGCAAATGTGTTCATAGCCATTTTAGAAACATTAAGTTGATAATCTCAGCTTTAGGATTATTATCTATCTTGTTATCTTTTCAAGGGTATTTCTACAGCTTTTTTCTGCCTCATTTTACTTTTTATTTTTTTCTTTCCCAGTGCTCTTTTCATAAGTCACAATGTATTTTTGCAGAACACGGCTGCCATACAGGCTTTCTGCTAAAGCCAAAATGCTGTGGCAGTGAATGATGTTAATGACCTAGGTGCTGTGAAGAATGTGCAGAGGGACATGCAAATGATTGCAGTGAATTGCGTATCATTAGCGCTGTAGTTAAGTGCTGCAGAAGAGATTCCTCACTGAATACTTTGAGTCAGTAACTTGCAATAGTTCATTTCTGGTAAAACATATGGCTTGTCAATCCTGTTTGACACTGCTTAGTGGGGCATTTCTTAGCACTCCATTAGAAGAAAGGTGGTGTTAACCTGTTTGTAATAACAACATCCAGTCAATACAGCTGGCCATTTCTGTTAGCATTTTTGTGAAGTAAGAAAGGGTGATTCTTTAGTAATGTGTTTCTGAACCTACATATGTACTGTTGATTTTCAGTAGTTTTATACCCTCTTCCTTGCTTTTTCTTATTTTATTTTTTAAAGGAAAATCTGTCTCTCTCTGTATTTCCCAGTGAAGCCTGTAATATTTACTTCTCTAGGTCTGCTTTCCTTTGCCTTCTCATTCTGTTTCTTGCATCTTGTGTGGTGCTTGTTGTCTGCTTCCGTCAGGCTGAAGTACCTCTGGGAAGGGAAGGCAGTGGCTCTTAGTGGGCTTCTTTTCACCTCATCTGTGTACTGCACCCAGGTGTGGGGCTCCCAATATAGGAAAGATTTGGAGCTCTTGGAGGGGGTCCCGAGGAGGGCCTCAAAGATGATATCAGAGGGCTGGAGCACCTCCCCTACAAAGACAGGCTGAGGGACTGGGCTTGTTCAGCCTGGAGAAGAGAAGACTGTGGGGTGACCTCATTGCAGCCTTCCAGTATTTAAAAGGGGATTATAAAAAGGAGGAGAAACAACTTTTTACAAGGGTTGGCAGTGAAAAGACGAGGGAGAATGGTTTTAAGCTCAAGGAGGGAAGGTTTAGATTGGATGTCAGGGGAAAGTTCTTTACCAAGAGAATGGTGAGGTGCTGGCACAGGCTGCCTAGAGAGGTTGTGGATGCCTCATTGCTGGAGGTGTCCAAGATGAGGTTGGATGGGAGCCTGGGTAGCCTGGTCTAGTATTAAATAGGGAGGTCCTTGGCCCTGTCTGGGACAGAGGATCTTGACAATTCTTGGGATCCCTTCCGACTCCGGCCATTCTATGATTCTGTGACCCTATGACCTAAGATTTCATTTTTGCTTTCCTAAGATGGGATGAAACTATTTTTGAGAAACATGTGAAAGTACTGTGTTATATAAGGAGCTCTTAATGGGAACATACCTTACAGCATGTGCAGAAGATTGAAGGCAGTACTTTGTCATGTGCATCAGGGAAAAAAGCAGTCATGAAAACTGTCTAAAATTATTATAATATTCTTTATGTTTGTTTTTATTTTTCTTCTTAGGTGCTGACCCCAGCACAAATAAAATCAATTTGCCTGGCCATTCTGGAATCAGGAAAGCAGTATGCAGTGAAGAAGAGGAAACCGTTCCCACTCATGTATTCCTACTATGGAACAGAGTATCTTGGTGAGTAGAACATATCAACTGCTTTGACAGTGATGCAGTGCATAGATGCTGAGACAGTAGATGGTTTACAAATAAAATATATAAAGCCTATGGTGTGTGATTTCTCCAGAGTAAGATAAGATGTTTTCCTTTCCTAAAAGTGATGTTTCTTATTCTTAAACCTTTGAAAAAAGTGTTTAATTATCATTATTGTGAAATAGGATAATTGAACCTTTAAACTTTTCGGTCTGGTTCCAGTTTGGTTCGAGTTGTGATTGAGGTTATTTCTCTGCAGGTATATCAACTGTGTCTAACAAGGCACAGTCAGCTCCAGTTGGAAAGAAGTGTAGCAGCAAATATTCAAGCAGATAGCACAGTAAAAGTATGCTTTCACGTTTACCTTGGGAAGCTGGAAAAGACAGAAGCAGAAACAGTGTTTTCATTCCAAGCACTGTTGTAATGTGCTTGAAGAAGACCAAATACCCATGCACTTGACAATGAAATAAGTCCCCAAGGAAAGATCCAAGGGGATGGAGGTGGGACCTAAACCTCCCCTCTCCTTTTGACTGTTGCTCTTCTTTACAGGTGCAGCACATGGACTTTCATCAATCCTTCAGATGTTACTTTCCTATTTTGAGTACCTGCAGCCAGCAGATCAGGAGCTTGTGTGGCAGAGTGTTGACTTTCTCATGGACCAAGAGCAGAATAGCAACTGGCCTCCTGAGCTGGGGGAGACAATCGAGCGGGAGAATGAGCTTGTTCACTGGTGTCACGGAGCTCCAGGTTCTTTTTCCTTTGATGCTATGCATGGCCCAGTGTTTCTCTGCATTTGGTGATTCCATGCAGAAGATAATCTCAGGTTAAATTTGACTGATATTGACATTTTATGAGATGCAGGTGAACTATTCTATCAGTTAAAACTGTTTTATTTATTGTGAAAGCAGCTAGAAGGACAGGCATATTTCCTACTTTATTAGCATTTGTGATCAAAGCTAAAAGAGTTCTGGGGTTCTGGAATACAAAGATGCAGGCACAGATGTGAGATTGAGAAGGCATTCAGAAGAATTTTTCCTTCTCATCAGAATCAAAGGTTAAGCCTACGCATATTACACAGAGATACATTAATTTGACCAAAATATTTGCATGTGAAGGAGAGTTTGTACTAGCAAGAGGCTTTTTAAAAAAAAACAAATGCATCCATATACAACTGCTTTTAAGAGAGAAAGAGAATACTTAGCTTGGACTCATGAGTTAAGGCTGATGTCTGTCAGTTCAGAATCTAGTCCAGTACCCTAGCAATTTGCGCAAGGAATGCTGTGTGTTGAAATTGCTCTTTCACCCACTGGCAGAATTTTATTGTTGACCAGTCCTGTTGGTTTTGTAACATGAACCTAGAAGGTTACAGAGAAGCTGACTTCTGTTCAAGAATGACCATGAGCACCGAAGCATTGCTTGTCAAGTTTTTCTATTTAAACTTCAGAAAGTACACAATTAGTTAATATCCCTCAAATGAGCTTTTTGTTGGTGCATTATCTTTTTGTTGGTATGATGAAGGAGCAAGCTTCTTGCTCTTGCACTCTAGTGAAGTGACATGAAAACAGCTTTTGCTTATCAAGCTTTTTTTTTTTATTTTTAAGACAAAAAAGTGACTTCTGTGGCATGGCTGGCCTAGTGAGGAAATCTGCAGGGAAGATGCCCTTTTTGTTTCAATATCATGACATTTTTTACATGGATTTATTAATAAGCGGAGAGATGCAGTGAGACTTAGCCAAGGTGACAAAATCGCAAAGGTCATAGAGAAGTTACTTTATTTGCAGACATCTAAATTCATTAATTGCTATGGCTCTTTCCCAGAAAATCCTGCGTCCTCTCACTGTTTATAGGCAATAAAGCACACATAACTAATAAGAACACTGTCCAATTACTTTGGTGTGTATTATATTCAGACCACGAGTGAGCTATTCAAAATGCTCCCTTACTCAGGTGCTTGATTTGGTCATACATATTTAAAGTTACCATGAACTAAGCAGTTCTGTTGAAGATTATGATCAATTTATTTGTATCTTCTCAAAAAATGCTATTTTTTTTGTAGCCTACCAGATACCCATCATATGTAGACATGTAACAGTGATATGTGTAGAGCATGAGACTGCAGGTTTATTATGTCAATCTATTATATATTTATGTATTAATCTTTGTTTTGTTGTGTGCTCTTGTTGTATGTAAGCCTTGGCCTACTTATTACAAAAGACTCTTCACTGCTGCTTTCTTAGGCATTGCATATCTGTTTGCCAAAGCTTATCTGGTTTCCAAGAAGCCTCAGTACCTGGACACTTGTATCCGTTGTGGAGAGCTAACCTGGCAGAAAGGCCTGCTGAAGAAGGGACCTGGAATATGCCATGGAGTGGCTGGTAGTGCTTATGTGTTCCTGCTGCTCTATAGGCTCACTGGAAACTCAAAATACATCTACAGGGCCCAAAGGTTAGTATTCCTAACTTCCTGCGTTTGGGATCATAACAGAAAGTCTCAAGAACATTCACAAAGCTGCTTAGAGCTTGCGATTGCAGCATCACGTGCAGTGCTGTTGTCAGGCTGCCTGCAGTGGGAGAGGTGCCTGAACTCCCTCAGCTGCCTCCCTGCCTGTGGCCTGGGATTCCTGTTGAGGGGAGCCGGGTGGTGGGAAGGAACAGCCTATTTCTGTGATTTACTCTACTTGTTTAAACTGATAATAATCATCATCATCTTTTCTTCTGTTTCTTAGGTTTGCAGAGTTCTTATTTACAGAGGAATTTAAGGCTGGTTCCCGGGCATTAGAAAGTGTATATAGTCTGTATGAAGGCTTCTCGGGGACTGTGTGTTTCCTGACTGACTTGCTGCAGCCCAATCAAGCCGAGTTTCCTCTCTTCAGTGTCTTTGTCTAGAGAACAACATCCTTCAGGGCCGCATTCCTGTGGCGACGGGAGAGGGCACCTGTGGTTTCACCTATTTGTGAGAGGCTATTTCCAAAACAAGCCAGTGGTACCAATAATGCTAGCCTTAATGTAGCTGGGAGGCAGGTGAAAGTAAATTCACTTGGGCTTTGGGTAAGGGAAGCATGTGAGCAAAAAAAAGGGGGGTGGGGTCAGTTCAAAAAAGGGGAAGGGGTTGAATCTGATGGGGTAGATATTTATCTGTAAAGAAGTAAAATATATTTAAGTGATAGAGAGAGGAGCATTATCAAACTTTTAATTTGGTGGCTACACAGGAGAAAAGGCAAGCTAGAATTAAGGGACATGCAAAGAAGAAAGAAAGTGATACATCCAGGATGTTTTAAAAGGAGACTTGCAGAAGCAAGTCTTTACGCAGTGAAGCACTTTCCAGGGAGGGCGTTGTAGACGTGTCACTACACTGCACAAAGGCAAAATCTGGGATTTTGTATCTAGACCACGTTTACTAGTACTAGTGCCATGTATTAGAAATAGCTGTATCCTGGAGCTCTTTTCACATGTACGTAAGGATAGTTCTGTAGCTAGCTATTTATGGAGCCTGCAGTTTCAAAGGATCATTTCACTGAGTAGAGTTTCATGTGTGTAAATGAGAACTGAATTTGGCCCTTCCTTTTGGAGCTCAGTCTGTGGTGAGGAGCTGGTCTCCTTACTGGTTTACCCTTACTGTGGCACTCTTACCAATACTTTCCCTTCTGCAGGGATAATTAGTGCTGCTGTGGAGACTTGGATTGAAAAGTTACAAAGCAAAGACACCACCGGCAGATGCTTCTTCACAGTACAGCATTGCTAGAATAGGTATTGTTCAGTAATACAAAAGCTTCCTTTAAAAATTAATTACCTTGAGCAGCATTTCTGAACAATAGCATACGTAGTTCAGAGAACAGAAAAACAATTTTCCCAATGAATTGTTCATTCCAAGCCCTGAAAACTGAATGCAAACCTCTGATGGCAAACTGAGCTTAAGAAAAACCTGATAGAAAAACTCAAATTGCTTCTTCTCTTGGTGAACAAAATAATGTATGTGCCCAAATGATTTGTAGCTATAGAAATAAATGATCTCCTCAATACTAGTTGCACTAGCACTTAAGGTTGCAATTGTACTGTTTCATATATATTATATTTATGAAATGATAACTGAAAGCTAAAGAAAATGCTAGCATAGATTTGTAGTAGAAAAACTATAAAAACAAAACCTATATTTAAAAATCTTTACTATTTTTATTTATTTTTATTTATATGGGAGTAATGTAATGCAATTACCTTAGAAGATGGATTGGGAAGGCCAGTATGTCAAAACTTTGCATTTAGAGTGAAAAAACTGACCTGTGTGCACTGCCGAACATTGCAGTCTCTCTTCCTGCATTCTCAGCTGGAGAAGATTACAGTTTCGTTGTATTTAATGCCTAATGGATTAGAGTTCCCATTTAATTTCAGTGGCTTGATCAGGCTGTAAGATAGAGCTAAGTCTTGCAATCCTTCTGCATTTTAATACACTAATTCCATTCCTACTCATGCCACTCATTACAACAAGATGACTTGCATTATTATGAGCTGCAGATTAGTATTTTTGCTATTTGTCTTGCACTGTGCAGCTTTAATTAATTACCTAATCATAGAAGTAACCATATTTCTTTGGTGACAAAAGCAATGCAGTTCAGCTTATCAAGTATTTGGGAATCCTTTGATGAATGTTAAAATTCAATATACAGATGTTACGGGTTTATAATTTGTGGGATAAAGGGTCTTTTAAGAAAGCCATTAATGTCACTTCCTTCATCACTGTGAGCAGTGAGATGCATACACATAGGAGTGTGTATTTCGTAGAGGGGTTTACATGTGAGGCTTAACTGAGAATGGAAAGTCCCTGTGCTCTGCCCAGCCATGTTTAAATGCACCTGTTAGATAAGCAGTGCAGATCCTAAGCCCTTTGGGATTCTTATCTAGTTTCTTTCTGTAAAGCAGATGGATAATCTATTTTATAGCTGGAACCTTTTTTAACAAGTTCTTAAGGAAGGTAAGGACTATCCACTTGGTCTATCCACTCCTTCCCTGTGATCATCAATTTGTCAGTCTCCATTTGTCTTGTAGGGTAGCAGTACTCAGATTCTATCTTATTGTAAGACAGACAAATGGGTTCTGCCGTGATTGGGCTCAGGCAGTTGCAATCCTACACTTATTGTCAAGTATTCTATTTACAGATACAAACATTACAAGGCCTAGTGTTCTGATAACCACATAGTCAAAAAACTTAACCTGAACTTAAGCCTTAACAGAATCTACGCCTATCAGCACAGTAATCGTGTCCTCCTGATTTTGTTCCCAGTGCCTACTTTTTAATTATCATTAAGCCACAGCATTTAACTGCATCCAGTTAGATTTCTTTTTCTCAGGAGAGGCTTGGAGAAGGATATCTTTGCCAAAAGCTCAATACATCTACAGCACAATAAATAAATAAATGCAGTAATTTAGACCCTGACCAAGTCATGAATGCTGACATTGTAATATATACCACTGGTGTTAAAATTTACCATAAACAATATGTCTCTGTAGGATTCATTCCTTTAGATTTAGATCAGAGAAGATTCAGATCATTTATGATATAAATAATAGTAACAAAACCACCCGGTCTCACGGGATACGTCTTGTAAAATCTTGGAACAGATGTAGCAGTTAAAGCTGGTTCTTATAGCTCTGTTGCTTTTCTTATCTGAGCTGGCTGGGATGAGGGGGAGATGGGATGTGCTGTGGCTACAGTTTCTGAACACAGCATCCATATACTCCAAGCCTCTTCTGAAATTGCCAGTCATTAAGTGGACAGGAGTTTTCATCTTTTAATACTCTTCAGCTTTTTTTTTTTTTTTTTTTTTTTTTTTTTTTTTTTTTTTACTTTGTATTGTTTACATAAATGCTGTTGCAATCTTAATTTGTTGCAATTAAGACATGGATAGGAAAGCAACCTGACTAGAGCCTTCAGCACTTTCAATGTGATAAAAAAAATTAGGTCCTTTGCATTTCCTCTGTACCGCTTGGGGAAATCAATTATGTGTCCTTTGCTGGGTATTCTCAGCTGGATGCTGAGAATACTTCCTCCTGCTACTTCCTCCTGCTCCACAATCAAACTAAGAGACTGGAAGATCATATTCCTGAATAGATTCTGCCACAGCGCTGTGACAAAAGACTGCATTACCAGAAACTTCAGAAGCCTCTTTCAAAGTGTAAAACACGAGTTATCAAGTCACCCGTGCACATTAGTCTCTCTACTTTGTTAAGTTTCTAAAGTGTAGGCAATAGGACTTTAAGTGATACAATAGTATTTCTGATTATGCTGTTAAAGCCAAGAGGATGCATTGTGTGGGTATTGGTGCTTATTTGTGATGTACATGTGTTTGTGTGGTGCTGTCTGTGAGTAAAGCTGTAGATTAGAAACCTGTTTAAGGAGCTATATACTATTCATGACTTTTGGTATGTCATCTATAGGTTACTGTTGTAGAATAATTTTGAAGGAAGTTAGATCTGTGATGTCAAGTTTTAGTGATATTAGGATTCGTAGAGCCACATGCAGTACGTTTCAGCAACAGTACAGTTCTAACAAATACATCTTTATTTTTTCCTGCTATTCACAAGTTACCAGCATGACAGTATTCTTGTTTTGTGCTACTGCTTTCAGTATCTTCTTTGTGTGCACTGTTGCTTCTTTCACTTTCCCCACCTTTCCTTCCCAGTCTATGAATAAGTCTGGAAGGCTGAACAAGCAGCCCACGCTTTTGTTCTTGAAAATTAAATCAATTAATTTTGCTGAAGGGAACTGTTCCACTTATTTGCATTACATTATTTTTAGACTCCTAGGTGGTCTTTTCTCTCCTAGGCCATTTCCCACCTACTAAGGAAAAATCATTATACTGTAGAATAACTTTTATTGATGATAGGCATCATTAAATAAAACAAAAGAGAAGCGTGTTCACTTCTCCGCTATCTCAGTTCTACCGACAATCAGAAATAAGTGGAATGGATGAACATCTCAAAACATGCATTTAAATAGTTCTGGGAAATATGCACAAATGAATGCAACTAAAGTGATCACTGTTGTCACTACTCAGTGAAATTAAGTAATGCCACTTTGATGTTGTAGTAATAAGTATATCAACATACAGACAATATGACAATTATATTGAATAGGTTTTTTTTTTTTTTTTAATTCTATGGGTATCTTAATGGTCTTTTCCAAACTTAATAATTATATTATTCTATAATTCTATGGAAAAAATATATATATAGGTAGGTATCTGATGTATTCAGAAACATACAGGTGCAATGTGCTTCAATGAAAATGTTCACAAGCAATCAATCTTTTTTACTTACAGCATTATCTGCATATACAGTTAAAGCATCTGCCAACATACTGCATGTTTTATGAAAACAGAGAACAATTTTAGCATATGCATGCATTTTGAGGATATATCCTTATTACTTCTTTTGAAATTTTCACCTGTTAGATCCATGGACAGAGTGCATCTCCGAGGTCTGCCAAATAAATCTCAGGTGCAGTAATCTTCTCCTACACAGACTGAATATTCACTGACACGAGTGCATATTGTAATCTGTAGGAAGTAGTTTATCAGGGGTAAGAATTGTTCTGTGGATTGCAAAGAGCAATCTTCCCGTGAAGAAATACACAGGTGAGCAATTGCTGGCTATCAGCAATCTTGCGATTGCTCTGAGAAGACATCTGAGTTTATATAATTGTGTCCTGGATTAAGTAGTAAGCAGCATAAAGCCAAATTAAAAATAAATAAGAAAATGACCAAAAATCACATTAATGAGGGAACAACATAATTCAAAGCCATAATCCAAAAATGCTCAGGGCCCAAAACAATACAGCAATTTAAGGATGTGAACAGGCATTTTCCAAGAGAATAGCACAGTTTGATTCATTGCACAGACAGGGGTACAGTATGCACTATACTTTACAGGTGGTCATAGCTGCCTTCATTGCCACTATAGCAGTTATCATATGCTGAAAAAAATCTGCCTATGAAGGAATTGCCTGTAGCTAAACCTACTGCCTTCTCCTATCATTTAATAGAATAAAAGTAATGTACACTGCGGATGCTTAAACAGTTAAAAAAGTACCCAGAAAACTAACACACCCAAACTCTTCAACTTGTCTTTCACTTACTAAATTTTCTGATGAACTTGTATTGTCATTGGCATCACTGTTGGTCCTATACTGTATATATTTAAAAATCATGCCCTGGAAAAAAATCCATCCATAAATAGCAGTCTGTCTGAAAATACATAAGACAGCATTTATCTTTAATGTGTACAAGGAAGTCTCTTGACATTGTTCATTGTATGATCACTCAAAGAGAAGATGGAGGCATTTAGGTCAAGCACAGAAATACCAACTAAAATGGTAGAAAATTCCTTAAAAACTTACTTTGCTTAGTGGTAAAATGGTATTTGAATGAAAGATACTTTATAATGCAATGACACTCATCAACACCACTGCATGTCTATACATAACCAGGTGGGAGGTTTCCCTGCCCAATGCAGGGCTGGAACAAGGCAGTCTTTAAGGCTCCTTCCAACCCAAACCTTCTATCATTCATGCATACTGCCCAGAAAGTCTTATGTAGAAGTCCTGAATTTAATTGTATCCTGTAACTGATAAGAACAAAGCCTATTCAAATATTAGATTCTATTTCATATAGAAGAGAAAGGCTGCCTGACCTGAAATTAAGCTCTGCTTTTGTCTTCATTACCATTACCACACAAAATGAGAAAGTTTTCTAACAAAGGTGTAATTTTGCCACTGATTTGACCTCAAGCTCTCATTTTAGGGGCCAGATATGCAACCCACTTATGTCAGTGTTGAATCTTCATTTGATTTCAGGCATGCAGGGTTACATCCTTCCACATGTGTGAAATTGGGGCAAAACTGTATCATTCTGGGCCCCAAACCTGCAAACTTTCCTCAGTACAAGTCCCATGGGATTACTCATACTTGCTCACATGTTAAGAGGAAAGCCAGCATACACAGGGTCCTTTCTGAT